AAAGCTCATCACTGACGCACTAGCCCCTTGGTATCTTCGCCCGTATATCCGATGGCAGAAGCGGCGTCTTCCAGGCTTGCCCTCGTGGGTTCCTGATCTGCGAAACCAGGAGATTGATACACTGCCAAGTTATACCGTCCGATATGGGAAATTCTCTGCTGGTGGGGCTACTCCGGGAAGAGTCGAAATCGTAGACGACAAGATCCTGGAGTGTACGGGTATGTTCATCGACACGGTGAAGGAAGACGGTATCTTCTTCCCAGACCTGCCGTTCCCGTCGAAGCTCAGCCGCGTCCCATTTCCACTAGATCGGTTGGGCACCTATCATTCTCGCAACGCATGGAGATCCCTCAACTTTTATAGACAATGTGTAAAGCTCGCTTGCGGTTCCGCGGATATCGACGAGATGTCTCCCGAGAGACTCGACTCTTTCTGGCGGACTATGACTTGCGAGAGAAGCCAGCTCAGCGATCGTATCGATGTTGACATGTCGGATCATCTGAAGACGATGATAAAGGGAATGGAAGTATGGCTCAACTCGGAGGACGTGGAGGAGGCGGAGAGAGCGAGGGTTCGGTTCGTTCTGTCTGGGCAGTCGGTCGAGATGAGTGTGCTGTCCGCGGCAACGCCTAGGAGATTTTCGACTACGGCAGAGGGCAGACTCTGCATGATACCGAGGGAGGGAAGAAAAGGCGATCGCTTGTGTGTTCTACTTGGGTCGGAGGTGCCTTTCGTCCTCAGGCCGACTGGAGCCGGAATGTACGAGGTGGTCGGAGACGCCTACGTGAGTGGAGTCATGGATGGGGAGGCACTTGCATCCGGCAAGTATCCTGAGACAAAGGTAACATTAGTGTAGAGTTCTTGTTTCTGTCTTTCTCGCAATTTGCAACAGGTATCTCGTATTGATAGAGTCCTAACATTGCTCCACAGCGTGGTCTCATTTGAGTCAGAATGCCGGTTGTTTAATGCGTCGGAGAAGCTCTCCTTCGCCCCTTTTCTTTTCTCTTGACGCATCCCATGTTTGTTCGCATAGCTATGCTCGTGTTTCGACAATTTGTTGATGATGTTATATGTCTCGTATTGTGTTTGGTGCCTTCTATCTTACTGCTGAGGTTTGCTCAAGGCACAGGCGCGCGTGCTAACGCCAATGACGTGTCTTCGACTTCTCTCGTGAGGTAGTCGACAGTTGTAGCGTTAGATACTGTTGACGCTCCCATCAACTTTTTCGAGGTTTCCAGATCTATCACCTTGGGTTTCAGCTGGAAGACCAACTAGGATGCATGACTGATGGGGAAAAGTTGTTCTAGACGAACAAAGCAACGCTGCGTTGCGCAAAGCTTGACGGTAAGTAGTAGGAAAATACCATCCCATACTTTTAATTGCACTATCGCAGTTTACAAAACACATCGTTGCTTAGAGGGATAATCTCGGGTCCTCGCCAGGACCAATAGAACCACGTCGGCAATTGGTAGAGTTGGCTGGAGGCAGGTGAGCCGATGTGGGGGACTCCTGATCAGCCTTGACTGGAATGATGATCTGACAGGGGAGAAGACGCCAGCCACTTGCTTGGAACTTGCACCATCACATCCTGCGCGAGTCTCGTATTCTCGGCTCAATATTCATTCATTACATGCAAAGGACAGAGTGAGGATTCCGAGGCGCGTCGTATCTCGCTCTTGGCGAAAGTACATTGGTGGATGAACACGTATGCTGGAACTTTTGTTTTGTGTCGGCGCACAACACACGCCGATGTTCTTCTTCTACCTTCTTATGTTTCGGAAGTATCGTGTTTGTGGAGATCCTTCCGTGTTTGCCGTGTATCTCGACTATCGACTCTTCGGAAGATTGGATAGATGCCCGCAATGGTGGCAAAGGATTTTGTATTCAAAGGGTTTATTCTCTCTCTGCTAACAAAAGCGCACACAGCGAGCCCAATTTGCGATCTTCAATCTCGTACAGAGACAAAAAGGGAAGATTGCGGCCAGTGTGGATTGAACACACGACCTTCAGATAATATGATTGAAGTTTACAGGATCGAAACCCACTTCAGTCTGACGCTCTCCCAACTGAGCTATGTCCGCCACGATCTTCGGTGACCTCGGGCACCTTGGCTTTCTTCAAGCCAACCAGCGCGTGAGACGAGTCCAGAAGGTCTCCACTGCTAGGGCTCGATTCCCACCCGAGAATCGTCAGCTCCGCTTCTGTGGGCATCCGCTGGCATCCGCGGTACCGAACACCACACAATCAACTTGCCATCTTCATTGAGCAATCATATGGTCTGGTGGTGTAGTTGGTTATCACGTCAGTCTAACATGCCGAGTTTCTCTCACATGATTGAGAAGTTGCGCGTCTTTCACTGAAGGTCTCCGGTTCAAGTCCGGGCTAGATCAATACAGAAACCTTTTGCCTGCCGTGACAAGTCACAAGATCGTACGAAGACTGAATCGTGCCTAAGTTTTCGGTGACTTTAGCGGCAGCCAATAGAGCCGTTTAGCCGTCGCTCTTGCTTTTATGACGATGTCCGGGTTAAAGTGGGTAATTTCGGTCGGTGCCCGTCCGGATTTGGCCGGAGATTGCCGGAGCCTGTAGACTACGCACCGGACTCCTCCCGGACTCTGAGGGTTTCAACGTCACGCTAGCCACGAACTACAACATCAAACTAAGCAATGCGCATCTTGGCGGACGACGCGCCCCACAGCGAACCGCCTGTGCCCTCATCTTTTGGGACATTCCCCTTTTGTACAGTCCCCATTGGGATAGTTCCCGTAGCCGAGGCACTTGTCGACACTAGCTTGAGGGGCACGGTAGTTGTGATCGCCGATTGTTGTTTTCAGCTTTCATCCAAAGCCGACGCAAACCCAACATCAGTTCACGCCACAGGAAGATTAAGCATGTCTCATATGATTTGTAAAGAATTCATCTTTAATCATTCGCAAGAACTACCCCGACGTCTCGGCCGAGTTCTGAGACAAGTTTTCCTGGAGCCTAAACACGTAGGTCTGTTGCTTTCCTCCAATGTCAGTTGACAAGACAACAAATGGGTCTCGCCGTTTACACAGTTGGTGGATAAGCTTTTTGCCCGCTGCAACCCTTCGGGGAGTTAGGTTATGTCAGTGGCTCGTGGTCGGCCCTGAACAGGGTGGGCAGATATAAAACGTGGCCGTGCAGCAAACGTGCGGGCGGCTCAGCTGCCGCATGGGGCCACCAGATGAGGACAGACACCTTTTGCACGGTTAGATGTCGATTACGGGACGGTATGGACCCCCGCCTACGCAGAGCCATGACTCGTAGGTTCGGCTGGTGTCAACGATACACCTGTAGCGACCTATCAGCGGCCTTCTAATATTGCTAGAGTATGTCCAAGCAATTACCTCAAAGGGCTAGACGCACCCAAATAGTCTTGTCGGCGTTTAGCATATGAGATTCATATGGCCCGGCTGTCCAGAATAATGGCCATAGCCACCCCTGGAGACAATTCAATCGTGGTCCGTGGGAAAGTCGATGCAGACTGAATCCATACGTAAGCCGAGGTCATCGTACGCGTGCCTCTCTCTTTGTAGAGAAACCTGCGAACGTCTGGGGAACTGCAGGGATTTACAACACGGCCTTGTTAGTTGGATCATGGATGCGGGAGATGTGTTGGTGCATTGAGGTTTGCCTGCCGGGAGTTGGTGGTGTGATCGGATAGTCGAGCCGACCTGACACGAATAGACCTTGCTCAGGCGTAGCTTAACGGGTATGTACGCCATGATCTGGTTGGATGGGTATGGTAGCTAGGTTTCAAAGTTCTACCTGTCAGACAATTCTGCCCCGACAACGGGTATCGTCACTATGGCATATGCCATGTTCGAGGCTGGGTGGGGACTTCAAATTCAACTGTGTCGTAGTCGGCGGCCGTCACATATCGCCAACCCCAGAACCACAGTCCCAAGATTACTGAAGGAAAGTATCCTGCTTGGTCCTGTTTTTTTTTTTTTTTTCAGTACAGGGTTATGTCTGACTCAGCGGACGTCAGCGGAAGATCCAAGTCGCGTACAAGACAAGTGTGGCGCCGGGCGGCCCAATTGAATTAGTCCGTACACTTAGCCCCTTAGAACACCCGAGGAAGTGCGAATACGACTGATATACGATGGGCTCCGCGGACGTGGTGTGGGTTATGCGTCCCCCTCTATTAATCGCCCTTTGTATTCCTCTGTGTTACCACCCGAGAACGACTTCGCACTCTTGAGGTTGTGGTTCGGTGATTGTTCTATGAAGACGGTTATCACTGCCGAAATGCCAACCACAATCCTGCGCGGTTCTGCTTACTGTCTCGAGGCTCTACGCGTCACCGCCCAGCAACTCCCTGACAGCTTCCGAGTACGAAGCTCGCGAATATGCAGTCGAATCTCTCTCGACGATCGCATCCGAAGACCCGAACTGGTTGTAAAACCTGCAAGTCAAGAAAGATCAAGGTGAGTACACAATATGTCATGATATCGCGACAATTATTGGGGTGGTTTTCGCCAGGGAACCTGGCAACATAGAGCTCTATCGTCTAGCTCCCGCAATCCATCATACCCGTGCCCCTAATGCTCAACGGCAGCTAGCAGGCTGACGGGATGAACGCCTCTATATCATCGCCAGCAGCCAAACAGCGACTAACAAAGCAACTATAGTGTGACGAACAGAGGCCAGCATGCAAGAATTGTATCAAACATGGAGTCGCCTGTGGCTTCTTATCATCTTCGTCACGAGATCCCACGTTTTCATTGGCGGAGCACCCGGGAGGGTTGAATTTTCTCGATCTTGAGCTTTTGCATCATTACTGCAACTTCACGGCATACACTTTGTCAGAAAACTCCCTGATGCGCGAGTTTTGGCGTTTAAACGTCGTCAAGCTCGGAATCGAGTGCGACTATGTTATGCGGAGTATTCTCTCCGTTTCAGCTCTGCATCTCGCGCACCTCTGCCCAGAGAGAAAGGATCACCTGCTGGAAAAGTCCATGATGCATCACGAGATGTCGTCTAGAGCAGCAGTTGGACTAATGCAAGAGGTACAAGAGAGCAACAAGGCGCAGTTGTTCATCTTCTCTGTGTTGACGATTTATATCGGTGAGTGATCTTTTACGGACTGTAAAAAGCGTACTTGGTATATTGACTCGTGATTTGATATCTAGTACTAGCCAACTCGCAATATCATAGTGATGCTCCGCTGACTGGCACCGAACAGTCACCAGATTGGATCGTACTATTCTGCGGGACCAGGTATCTAGTTGGAGAGCCGAACGATAACCCCCTGATCTCGCCCATTATCACGCGTACTCTAGCGCACTTCCAGACGCGCGAGAGGCCGTATCATCACACGCACCTCGGAGATCTTGAGGCGAACATCAATGCTTCGGAGCGAGATGATGGATTACTTGCTATCTACAACCATGCTATCAACGAACTTTATAAGTCGTACGGGGCGTTTTACGAGTGCACGGAGCCACAGGACATCACGGATGTGTTCGTCTGGATTGCCATGGTTGCTGATGACTTTCTGCCGTTATTGAGGGATTCCAGACAAAAGGCGTTGGTGATCTTCTTGTACTTTTGCATGCTGCTGAAGCAGCTGCCTAGTCAGTGGTGGCTAGATGCTTGGTCAAACAACCTGTACGGGAAGACGTATGGATCGTTGGACGACGAGCATAGGCCGTGGGTTAGGGACCCGACGATGGAATTCAGCGACATCTGTTCGTGATAACCGCCTCTCCCCGAGAAACCTACTACGCGTGGCAATGCTACCGTCTAGATTGCCAGCCCTACGTGATCCATGATCTGCCACTTGTTTATTGCCCATACCGCAATCGGGATGTGGATACCATGATGCCGCGTGGAAAATCTCCGAACGCCGCAGCAATTGGTGCTTCTTTTATCTGCCCACTTGGCCCGCGGGAAGCGCGGCCTTCGGGCTGACAGCCATCTCTTTCCTTGTCTAAATGTTCGATGTCCGGGTTGCCTACGCCTTGAATGCAATGGAGGTAACTTCAACGATTCGACTAGCGACAGAAGCTAAAGAGCGCATGTTGTAACGAGTAAAGTTGCCAGCCGTGTTCGAGAAAGGGCCGGAAAGTGGGAGTCGATTGCACCAAGCGTTGCAAGGCGCTCTTCAACACTAGCTATAGTCTTGTGCGGGTTTGCTTTGCTCGATGTTGTCGATGGTTTTAACGCGCTCGATGACAGTGTTGTTGTTGTCGTCCTTTTGGCAATTACCTGGGAGACTTTGTAGAGAAAGCAAAACCAGCAATCCCCCGTTCTTCTCAACTCCCCTAAAGCTCTGTAGCTCGGCTGTCTGGATCCCAATGGCCAGCGGTGTCGACTTTCTTTTCGTCTTCCATTCGAGGTCGTCGTTTAGAGCCACACGGTAGGCATAGGAGGTAGTCGGTACAAGCTCGAGTGGTTTTGCTCGTTGAGAAAGATTCGGACTATTTCGAACAGCAGGCGCGAGATCGCTGCGTTGTCAACATTCCCGCGGGACTGAAGACAAGACACGGCCGTAAGGGGCGTATGGCCGCATGGCGAGCCGCGCAGGCTTTGGAACATTATCTGTGGAAGTGGCAAAGAATAGTCAACAACAAGCAGGATGTAGAATACCAGAGATCTTGACCCATGGGTTCGATCCTTTAGTCAGGGGGGGACGCGGCTGACGATACTCAACTCGAAGGGGTCCTCGCCAGTACGCGTTCCAACCCTTTCAAGCCGCAGGGAAGAATACTGCCGTGATGCTTCAGGCACAGAGGGCCAGGAGAACAAAACTAGGAATCCCACGGAGCGACAAACCAGACATTTGCTGCTTCTTCAACCACTCTTCGGGCTTCCGCGGCGCCCAGCACTGTCCTGATTATTCGTTTTGGCTCCGCCAATCACGTCGCGCTGTCTCAACGAGGTCCAATGAGCGTGAAGATTTTGCACAAGGCCCATGTCGTCAGTATGGGTCGTCGATGTTCGGGAGGACGAGGCTCCCGGGAGATGCCCCGACAGTCTGCCGCATGACAGAGAGGAACATAACAACAGAAACAATCCAGAAGAAGCAGCTGCAGCGTTTGTATATAGTCAAACCAATAATCATGTTTCTCAAGTTATTGAAAGCCATCGACTTGGGCAAGCCGAAATGTTCGTACATCTCGTATTATTGTCCGAGTCCGAGCCCCTCGGACTAAGACTGTGGCTTAGCCGTGGAAAAGGAGAGCACTAACCCAAATGTTGGTCATTTCTGTGGCTTGTGAGTAGCGCCATACTGAGCACCCGAATTACCCGAGGATCCCAGTTGGTCTTTCAGGCACGGCGCTTACATATCCTTTTACGGAAAGGATCATGCACTACGAGAGGTTGAAAACTTCGGCCCCGAAACAAATTTCATCGTTACCTGTCACGTGAAGCAGGATGCAAATGGGTAGGGAATCTCGGCCATAAGTGCAGTTTAAACCATGAAAGATTGCAGCAAAACCCGGGCTGCACTTAGTTGCCCAACACCCGCTGCTCTTAGCCGATTGCTCTGCGCACAGAGTAAGGGTTAACTTGATTCTACCAGAATGACGCTGCTCAGGATCCACATTTCATGATCACTCAGGCGTAGGAAGACGCATAAGGATTTAAATGGTCATGTCTGAAGCACAGCCTGTGCGTCAACGCCTTGGTTCTCCCACTGAAACATTTTTCGCTGTATAATTGTTCAAGTATGATATAGTGGGATCACTGTGGAATCTTTTGGTCTGAATAATGGAGCGCGACATGTCAACACACGATGTCCAATACGGTTAACGCATGTACTGAGTGGTCACAATATTTAGAATTGGGAACACGGACAACGTAATTGACCGTAAATACTATCGACCTTGAATTCTGTTATGACGACACTCATGGGTACTCAAAAACGTTTGAAACTCCTGAGTTAGTTTACAACAGCGGGAAATGTAGAAACATAACGAACCTAAGTATGTGATTATGGTGCTTATGAAAGCAAGAAAAACCCGTTACGTACACCGAGTAAGAAGATGAGGAACGTTAAGGTTCATGGTTTTCAGTAATTTACAGAACATCTCGAGCTGAAAGTTCAAATGACCAAGTATGATATTTTACGCGGAATCAATAATTTGTCGGCTTTCACCACGCTCTGGTACTCAGTCCCAGAATGTGAGCTACATTACCACTTAGATTAGATGTCTAGGTGCCTGAGTGTAGACAATCCGGTGGAATTTTCTTTTGTGCCAATGGAGGTATCTTCTGTTACGAGCAGGCCAGCGCAACTGACCGCACCACAAAGCAAGAGCTTCAACAACAACAAAGTCGCTATCCTTAATCATCATCCCTTGGTCTGCACCACATACTTTCGTTAGCCAGCACCCCAACTGGCTGAACACTCCAGCTTACAACGAAACCAATAGTTCTGCCACTTTTGTTCCACGCAATCTATCTTACAAGATCAACGAAACTCGACTCTGATACTCTCAACAGACATGTCACTCTGCGCTCTTTGCCCCGCGTGATCTTCTTTACTACCATCAATACAACCCCATGGTCACCAACAGGCCTTAAATACTTCATCTTTTGCATTTCTTATCCGGCTGGTCATGTATATCGCTGGCGATCAAGACGATCCATCAAAAGCTGTCTGCAACACAAAGTGGGTGACGTTGGAAATAGAGGATCGCACGCCTAAACACTCCTGAATGATACTGCAGTACAAGCCATGAACAACATGCAAATCAGTGCAGATACACAGCCTGCGGCCCGCCCTTGTGCAACGCTATTGCTTCCCCGTCCATAATGCCATACACAAAGGCATCACCTATCAGGGAGAATATGGAAGTCGCACTACTTCGAGGGCTTTTATCGCCAGTGGATGGCCGCAGAATGAACGGCACCTTGCCGCCCGAAAGCACCCAAACCTCGTCCCCCTCGGCTAAGTTCGGTGGACCGACACCAACGTACCCTCTCTCTGTGACAAAGAAGGTCTGACCAACTATCATCATGCGAACGGAGTTGCAGATGAGTTTGTTCAAGGGACTGCCTCCATGGAATTGCAAAGCGGCTAGGCGAGCGTCGTTCTCATTAGCCCTCCGCAGCGGGAACTCTTGCATGAGAAGGTCTCCCATCATGGTTCGCCAAAATACATCAGCTGGAGTCTCACCACTGGGATACTTCCGGTCTCCCAGCGCTCGTTCCATTAGCTGCTGCCAGATGTTCGTGGATTCGATGATTTGATCGTTCGAAATGCTCTCTGGGCCATCTCCTCGGAGTGGGCTTCCGACCTTTTGTACCTTGTCTACCGATATGCCCCTTAAAGAGAGCAGGCTGTCTCCATGCAATGGCGACGTGAACTGCAGATCCTCCCCACCATCAGCCGCGAACTTCTTGTACCGGTGGGAGTGGTTCCACCACCAATGTGGGGTGTTGTCACAAGGTGTTTGTGACAGGTCAATCGCCCATGAAGGGAGATCTGGGATGCTGTTCGGCCGCAGGCCGACAAGTGGTCTGAGGCCTTTCTCACTCTGTATCAGCCCCGTGGTAACCTTCTTGTATAGATTGACGACGGACATGTCGTAGTCGCAGATTTGCACACCAGGGATGGGTGTGTGTGAAAACATGCCCATCAGTGCAAAAGCTTTGTCCCTCGGGTCCGTTGCCTTTCGGTATCGCCATCGCTGGAGTATGTTCAGCGGGCTCTCCCCGGCCTCCGCAATCTCCAGCCCACGAACTGGCCCTGTGAAATTGTTGAGGATATCGTGGAATGTGTCCAGGATAGGGAAATGCAAGCGTGGAAAGAGCCCTGAGCACAGCCTCCTTGCTGCCTGCTTGAGACCCAGGGCAGACACAGCGGGCCCCATAGGATCAGAGCATTAGATGGGAGCACGACTTCCTGGACCGTCCATATCCGCGACCACCAAGGGTTTCCATCCAGGACCAGAGCCTTGAAGGCGCCATGGGCCCTGGCCAATCGATCAGGAGTCGAAAGCCCCGGAGGGATGAACTTCGAGTCACCCCACTGCCCCGCGCACATGCAAATGAAGTCGAATGCTCCCTCTGCATCGACAGCAGTGAGCGTTTCAGGAAGCTCGCCGAGCCAGATCAGGCATCTCGAGCAGTTCTTATAGATCTGGCGCATTATGGAGACCTGTCGCGTCTTATCACGCGAATCCAACTGATTAATGCATAGCTGATCGACCCAGAGGGGCCGCATCATACTGGGCTTCCGAAGGCGTCTGAGGGCGGCCTGGAGGCTCTTTGTGATTTTGACTGTTGCCCCTGCTACCTCGATTGGCTCCAAGTTCAACTGGTCTCCCCAGACGTACGACAGGGCCTCGTATGGCTCGCAAGTTCCGAGCTCCAGATTGCGGATGTTGCAGTGTAAGTCATCATCATAGTTTGCTGGCAGCAGGTCGAGAATCCGGAAACCAGTTGTTGAATCCATTGAAATTTTTGGGGTGGTGTCTTGAACCATGAATGCTTCCGTTCGCAAAAATGTCTAGCGCTTGTTGAAATGATTATGGGACCGGTGGTGGAAGAATGAGACCCAAGAGCCTACCAAAGTGCTGATATTCGTGGGAGGCTTTGCAGAACGGTACACTACTTCTCGGCGAAGGGGAGCTTATTATGGGCAGAGACTCTCGGTGCAATTGGCACTTGAAGCTGAATCCATGCGATGTCACATAGCTCAAGCTCATGTGCCGTGTCTCGATGTCATTGGATCATCATCGCATGTTGTAGAAGATATAGCTGCTAGGTATTTCTTACAAGTAGGTCAGAGTACCCAACTGCGCCACAAAACAAGGGCTTTCTTTGGTACAAAAACCCCGTTGTCATTGCCCCCTATTGTAGCTTCTACTGTAGATGGGCTGGGTGCTAGAGTAAGAAAAAGGGAAACCATGGCAGGTTATTTTCTGCTATAATATAGGTTGCCTCGCTGTCTCGCACTGCCATTGGAGACACATGATGGTCCGCTCTAGGCCCCTGTTTACTTATTGAAGTGTGTGAGGTGCCAGGCTTTGTCAGAGGGAACTAGGCAATAACGGGACATACGAGGGCTGGGCAGTGAGGCAATGTGGATGCTGTGGGAATTTAGATCTAATCATTGGGTCTGATAAGGATAAACTTCAGAAATGCTTGACGTCAAGACCCGGAATCGATCGACGGTAGTTCAGGGAACCTTGCCTTTTGCAGGAAACGGCTCGGAATCCGAGGTACCCAGTTCGGGGTCGAATGCGGGGTCCAACGACCACCGTTTCTAGACGCCTTCACACAACGTCTTTCCTCGACCAATTTTTCCAATCCAGAAAACCGTCAAGAAAAGATGACAGATATCGAAAAGTATGAGGCCGAATCCACTTCACAGCTGGAGAATCTCCCCACGGAGGTGCTGCTCCAGATCCTCGCACACATAGACGATGTGCACTGCCTGTGGAACGTCATCACCTCCTCGCCCGCCTCATTCCGCGTATTCAGTCAATACAGCGCCGAGATATTCTGGCAATCCATCTCAGAGAGCACGATCACGCCGCAGACACAGGATATCATTCGTTTTGTGATACAGCTTCGCGCCGGCGCCCATGAGGAGACAGGCTTGGACGAGATTTTCCGAAAGATCAAAGACCGGGAAGCTGGTATTGTGCTCGGGAAAAGCGAAGAGGCGGGCTACGACTTCGAAAGTCGCGATGCCTCGAAAGTCCCGTCTCTCAGCGTTTTGCGCAGCGTGCTCTCGACAGCGGCGCAGGTTCACTGCTTGACCAGGTCGTGCATTGACCATAACCTGCAACAACTGATTGATGCCAAGGCAAAGGGACGGCTTGAGTGGGCTCCGGAAGACGAAAGGGCGCGGAGGCCGTCATGGGTGGAAGAGCAACGGGTTCTCCGCGCATTTTGGCGGTTGCAGCTCATATACGAACTGGAGTTGGCGGTAGCTATGTCACGAGTTCGGGACACTCCTGGAACAAGCGATCATGCGAATGACTTCGACATTCAGAGTTTCTACGACAGCAGCAACAGCAATCTCAAGGTCGCTTACCACGAAGTCATGACAGCGATTGAGTACGTCCGGCATATTAAGGCTCACAGAAGACACAGCTCGGGGTCTGAGACACATCGATTGCCCCAGCTGACTTGGCCTGCGAAGGATATCCAACCTTCATCAAGGCGGGTACCAACAACTGGTGCCATGAGAAGATCGTCGCTAGTGCTACCAGCCGACGGCCTCTGGATTGTGGACAGCATGAGTCGGGGCGCTCACTCGCCGATCAAGTACGCGGGCTTTGAGCCTTATAGGGCTTTGGGGTTTGCTATCTGGGACCGGCATCGGCTTGCAGAGCTTGGTTTGGCGAGCCCTCCTGGTCATGGTCGCGTCACGGGTCTTGGATCTTACTTCTCTTACTGGCTGAGGCTGCTGGATGCACGCGACTTGGCTCGAGCTGAAGAGGTGATGCGGGAGGTTGAAAACCAGGGAGGGCGACTGGGTCCGCTGCAGCCTATGATCCAGGACAATGCGTCTTGAGATGTGATTTGTAGACTTATGGTCATGGTTTATCGGCCTACGCGATATTCACAAGTAGCTGTACGCGGGCTCCATCCTAGGTTTGACACTACATTACACACGATGTTTGGATGCGTGCTGTTCATTGGACGGGCCAACTGCACTTTCATGTTTCTCAATGATTCGTCCTAAGAACTTCCTGTGTCTCTGATTTATCTCTTCGTGATAATGATGATCGCTTCTAGAGTTGTTTCGCTCCAAGAATTGCGCCCGGCGATGGGAAAGAAACCCGGAGCACTTCTTCACTTCCCACTCACCCAGTCAATCTTGACTTTTTCGTAATTACATCGTTGCTTTGCGAGCCCATAACCCTGCGGCATCCCTTAGGCTTTATCCTGAGATCCTTCACCGCTCAATAGCCTGCTGATCTTAACTCAGTGCATCAAACGTGCCGGTATCATAGAGGTTTTTGAATGCCAGACTGAATGTCGTGAGTCGCTGCCTTATCCACCTTAGCTCCTAGAGCATCCTGGTCTTTGATGTACTCGGGCATCTCAACTCGGCTGTCTGATGTTCCTGGTAATCCCAGCGGAGGTCCTGGGACTTGCTTCTCTGCCGCATCCGTGGTCATCTCTGTTTTCTCGCATGCCTTCTCTGTGGGCATTCGGCTGATCTCCCGCGCGTCTTGGAGAAGACCAAGTCCTAACTCTGGCTCATAGCGAAGTCGACCAGTGCCGCATTGCTGCAAGTACCGAAGGACGCGGCGGTATGCCCTGAAAATGGGGTTGTTTTCCCATGAACGTAACTCGTCGGCCTCCAGGCCCATCTGAAGCTGTGCTTTGTACCAGATGTCTGCCTCGGGGCAGTCATCCCGACGTTTGTTAAGTCTCTTGGGGTTCGCGATGATGAATGCGATAACAGTAATCTCATCGATGGGCAGTTGTCCCCTGAAAATCTTCAAGGCCTTTTGTGTGACAATCTTGAACTCGGGGGAGGAAGCAAGACGGTTGAGATACACGTCCATTGTGACACCCGGGACGGTTAAGATGCTGCATACCCGTAGTTTGGTGTGGCGAGGGAGTACCCCGTTCTCGGCGTCGGGCTTGAAGATGAACTCTGCAAGCTGCGTGGCCGTGTTGAAGTGGGGCATAGTACCAACTGGTTGCGTCTGCGATGGTTTAGACACGGCCGGGGTGACAAACACCCTAGGGTCTTCCAGTTTCTTCTTCTTAAGCTTTGGTGCTCCATCTGCAGAGGAGCTGTTCGACGTCTTGTTACGCTCCCCACTTATTTGGCCATGTGCCCTCTTCTCACCCGCCGTGGCAATCTGTCCCGCTTGGTGCTTGATGGGCTGCTGGGTTCCTCCAAATTTCGATCTAATTTGGGTGCCTGAGCCGGGCACAAACGTCTTCCGAATATGAGCAGAACTGTTGTCTTTAACCTTCTTGTCAGGCAGGGATGCCTCTGTGGTCTTGCCTCCGACCCTGGCCTTTGCCCAAAACGGCAAGGGCTTCGCAGCAGATGGTCCGCCTTTTGACTTCGCTCCTACCTTCGACGGGACGGCTGATGTGTCCTACAAAGAATGATTAGAAGGCGTAGCATGATATATGAGGGAAGGTACGACTACCTTCGGTTTAAAAGCCGAGTGAGTGTGGCCCTTTGAATGGGCAATGCCCGGCTTGACGCTGGCTGAGGAGGGAAATGTCATAGTTGGTGTGTGCTAACTTGACCAAGGATTATGGTGAAGCTGTGCTGTATGCGAGATGTGTGAAGCTAGGTAGTTTATTGTTTCTGTTGAGGCACGCTTTTTTGCGTGTTCCAGATTGAGAGTGGAAGGAAAGGCGGCGAAGGAAAAGATTGATGGGATAGACTTTTATTGATTGTGGTACCTGGCGTTTGAATATTGGAAGGTGTGATGTTCTGACAACCCAAGGCAAGTGCTGCACTGCCTCTTGTGATGCGATGAGGAGTCAAATAGGGCCACGATTTGGATGTTCCAAGTATATGAATATGATTTTGGAACAGAAGGTTTTTCATCGTTGGATTTCCCGTGTTCAAAGGTGCAAGAGTCCACTGGCTACTTACAGAATAAGATAGAAGTACATTTTGGGTTCTATTCAGGAAATGGAAGGCAGACTGTAGGGTTAGCAACCATCGGGGAAGGCACGACCCATATTCAAAAGCCACACGGGATAGTGGGCCATATTCTTGAATTAGACCAGAAATCTTTTTTAATTATCGAGTAGATCTGGAGTCTGGCATCGAATTACGATGCTTTAAGAAAGAGTAACTTTTTTCGTTGAAATTCTAGCGGTCTCTTGTCGTCGGGAGTAACTTAATCATTCCTCTCACAATTAAACATTA